ATGGGCAGGGTTATTTTCCACTAGACCAGGTCGCTCAGAGCTCCATCCAACCTGGCTTTGAACACTTCTAGGGTTGGGGCATCCAAAACCTCTCTCAGAAAACCCAGTGTGTTGAATGCTGGACCCAGTCTCATGCAGAAGGTGGGTGGTGCTTGCCCTGTTGAAAGGTAGCTCCCATGTCCAGGTTCCAGCAGATGAACAACAATGGGGCTAACCTACTTGGGAGCTGCAAAGCAGCTCAAATGCTGGTTTGAGAGGAACAGCAAGTGAGTGAGAATTAAGAAGGTAATATTGGGACCCAGTTTCATACCTTGCCTATTTCCAGATTGCAGTGGGACACCTGGATCTGTAAGAGGCCATTGTCTCGTGTGAGAAATTTTCTGCAAAATTCCTTTCCCTGTGGTCTCAATGTTAAATGGGTTATATGAAGACTCACAGCTTGTAAGGAGCAGAAGTCTGGCGCCTCCTTAGGAGGACTGTAAAACAAAAATTGTATTTGAGACTCTATATGCTGATGTTTAAGAGTTAAAACTGGTAGTATTGCTATTGCTTCCCAAGATAAAACATAATATCCTGGCCACTGGCTAGCACACTGGCTTTGAAGAGTGATTGGGAGTGGGATTCACTCATGAATGGGTTATTATCTCATAGGATGTAGTGGTACTTTTTTTCCATTATTAATAGCTATACGCTGTATCTACTACAAAGTTTTGGCTGAGTGAAAAGCGATGTCACTTTTTTGCTTACGGGTCTCTTGACATTTCAGGGTGTTTTCTAGTAGCTCAGGATTCTCTGTAGATGAGGATTCACTGGCTGCTCATTTCACAGGGTTTTTGTAGAGCCTGTGACTCCTCTGACACATTTAGCTCCCTCCTTTTGCAGCCTTCCTATTGCAAGCAGCACGAGTGTGTGATGATGTATTGGAGTGTGGTCCAGCCAAAGAGCTGTGTAGAGAACCAGGGACATCTGCTTTTGAATTGAAATTCCAGCTGGGCCACATTCAGCAGCTTAGGTCATTTTGACCTGATATGAAATTAAATGTTCTATTTGCATTTTCTGCAAACTGATGGCAATGACAAAAAGTAAAAATAAACAACAAACTTTTGTAAAAATACCAGCTCCCTTTGGCCCAAAACTGAATGAAAAATTCTCAGCTATCTTAATCCACTGTCAAAGGTAGGTCATAAGAACATCTGTATTTTCATGCCAGTGCAGTACTCTGGCTACTGTAACTTGAGAACTGTCTTTGTTGAAATTTAATGGTTTTGATCATTACCTCCTGTTGGATTCCTGTCTTCAGTTCTGTCTAGCTGACATCTCTTTGGCAATCACTGCCTCAGAAATGCTCCTTTAGACAGTATGATGTGAGGAGCAGTGATGCTGTAAAACCTCATACTGTAGAGAGAATGATCTCTTATAAAAAGGCACGTTCATATTAAAAATTCACAGTAGTGCACTCCACACCCCCATTATAGGTAATTACAGAGGATTTTAAATATCTGATGCTAGTTGGCAGCGTACAATACCCTGTCAGCAGCAGGCACTGATTTGTAATTTAATTATCATAAGACATCCACCTGTTCTTTTGTCAAATGAAGAGTAGCATTTCCATGCAATCATGCTTTTCCCTCCAGAAATTTGAATTAGTCCTTAGAGAAAGGTTTCTAAGGAATGGGATTTTTTCAAGGACATTTGCAGGACCCCATCAGAGCAGGGTGATGGAGATGAATGAAGAATTTCTGCAGGAGTGTCTTAGTTCTGGTTTGGTATTTTCAGCATTACCACTGGCTTTTTGCTGTGTCAAGCTGTTTTGGTTCACAGCTGAAAGCATTTCAATGAAGAGGTGCTGTGGGAGGAAAGATGTATGAAAATCAATGAGTTTGGTGCTAAGAACATGAGGCAAACCCATAGCAGGATTGACCCAGAAATGCTCTAGGCTCATACTTTGTGAAGAAGGAGAGGCTGGCCTTGGGATGTGAGGGAGACAAAGACAAATAGAAGAGTGGAAATCTGTTCTGTAAACTTTTTCAGCTGATGGCACGTGAACATGGATATTACTGAAGTTGTCATGGGAATTTGCAGTTATTGGATAAATAAATTAATTCAAATTATAAAGCAAGTCTATCAGTGGAGATCCACACAAGTGTTCTGCTCTTTGGGAGCATGGGGCTCAGGGTGAAACAATTTCCTCTCAGCTGTGGCTCCTGTTTATGCAACAGCTCCACTGCAGTGCAGTGATGGGGAAAGCACTTACTGATGGTCAGAGAAATGTTCTCTCTTTAAGGCCACATCACACTGCTTCTGACAGTGTAAAACTGAAAAAATGATCTGGAAAGAATAGCATATGTGTTTTATATATAGATATATGTATGTATGTATGTATGTATGTATGTATGTATACATAATCATAGAATGAATCATAGAATCCAACCTGGGCTCAAACATTTCCCTCTACATCTACATCCCTCTACATCTAGGGGCATCTACAACGTCCCTGTGCAGTTTCATCTTGTTCCAATGCTTCATTGGAACTGAGGAAAGATTTTCTTTCTAATACGCAATCTAAACTTCTTCCAGTTTAAAACCATTCCTCCTTATCCTGTCACTACATGCCTGTATAAAAATCCCTCTCCCTCCATTATATAAGTGTCCTTAAAGTACTGGAAGGTTTCACCCTGACACCTTCTCTTCTCCAGGCTGAACACCCAGGCTCTTTCAGCCTATCTTCATAGGAGAGGTGCTCCATCCTTCTGATCCTATTTGTAACCCTCTTCTGGCCCTGCTCCAACAGGTACAGAGGAGAGAATGTCTTTCTGGTGCTGAGGATCCCAGAGCTGGATGCAGTGCTCCAGGTGGGGTGCTGCAAGATCAGAATACAGGGTGAGAATCATTTCCCTTGACCTGCTGCTCTTTTGATGCAGCCCAGGATGAGGCTGGCTTTCTGGGCTGTACATTCTCTGTTGGCTTATGTCCACCTCATCACCCACAAGAACCTCCAAGTCCTATTTTGCAGAGCAGCTCTTAATCTTTATAGTGGGAGAGACTCCACTCCTCCCACATCCACCCAGAAGACGAGGAACTTGCAAGAAGTGGGAAGCCTGTATATACTTACGTATAAATTTTTGTATCAGCAATGTTGAGGCCAGCAGGAGCAGGGCAGTGATTGTCCCCTGTACTGGGCACTGCTGAGGCCTCACCTCAAATCCTGTGTTCAGTTCTGGGCCCCTCACTGCAACAAAGACATTGGGGGGCTGGAGTGTGTCCAGAGAAGAGCAGCAGAGCTGGGGAAGGGTCTGGAGTACAAGTCTGATAAAGGGTGGCTGAGGGAGCTGTGTGTGTTTAGCCTGGAGAAAAGGAGGCTCAGGGGAGACCTTATTGCTCTCTACAACTGCCTGAAAGGTGGCTGTGTTAAGGTGGGAGATGGTCTCTTCTACCAAGTAACAGTTGATAGGATGAGAGGAAACACCCTCAAATTGTGCTGAGAGATTTATATTAGACATTAGGAAAAATTTCATCTCTGAAAGGTCTGTCAAGCATTGGAACAGTCTGCTTGGGAAGTGGTTGACTCACCATCCCTGGAGGTATTTCAAAGTTATGTATATGTGGCACCTGGGGACATAGTTTAGTGGTGGAAATGACAGTGCTGGGTTGGACTCAATGATCTTAAAGATCCTTTCCAACCTGAATGGTTCTATGATAGAGCTTCTTACGGCTTCTGTCACTGCTGTCTTGTCTCCTTAAGAAGTAGCCACTGGACATTTCCATTTTCCCCATTCCTGAGTTAATGAAATGACTGGTATTCTGCTCTTATTTCTCCTAATTATGTTTTAGCAAATGACTCACTTTAAAGAGGATGTCTCTGAGTAGTTGTCTTTTAAGAAAGTACTCACTCGATTAAAAAAATAATTGATTGCTTGTGGCTTAAATGATCTGTGTGCCAAGCCTTAAATGTGACATTGGCTGGAGTATTATTTATTAGGCTGATGGCTTCTTGCCCAAATAATATTTGGCTGGTGCCAGTCATTTCATATATTCATTAATTATGTTATCTGGAAAGTGAATATGTGAAGGGCCGCAGGCATATCCCAGAAAAAAAGAAGAGAATAAATCATGTCACATGTGTATTCTGAAAATAATTGGCAACTGCTGAAACATTTCCATACTTAAGATTGAAGGCAGGAATGCACTGGGGTGGTTTCCTTAGGAGGGATGAATAAATGAAATAACACTCCACAGCTGAGTGGTCAAAGTGAAGTGGATGAGCAGCAGAGAGGTCTGCTGCATGGATAGGTCTGCTTTGGCATGTTCTTGTGATTCTGCCTGGACTTCTGATTTATTTTTCTTATATGGCCATACAGATAAGTCTTAGGCTTTTATCCAGCAGCTCCCTCCTCAGGGCACAGCTGAGGGGATGGCACCTTTTTACAAAGCATTCTGCCTGGAGAACAGATCAGGTAATTTAATTTAATTTTTAGGGTTATATTCCTTGTTGTTACAAGCTTCATTTGGGATCTTGGACAAGCCTCTCATGTTGCCTCTCCATGGAAAAGAAGGGTATAAGGTTAGAACTTTACTGCAGGGGAATCTTCTGTGGGACTGTGGCTCTGTAGAAGTGCACGTGTGTTCTCCAGCATCAGAGTACACAGTGCTAAGTGGAAAAAAACCCAAGTAATTTGCAGAAACTCTAATTATTAACACAGGGATGCAAAATGTGATCTGACACTACAGCTTGGCTTATCAATGTCTCTTCTTCAATATCAGAGTGTCATATCAAATGTCTATTTGATGGTGAAAATTTTGTGTATTGGTGACATATACCTCATTTCTCTCTTTGATACAATAGTAAAAAAGAATGATTCATTCTCTCCAGAACACACTAGGAAATCCAATGATTATTGTCTACTGCATCATATTTCATTTGTCATTCCATAATTATATTAAAATATAGGAATTAGCTTCTAAAATCTTATTTGTTGTTTCTTGATGTTTTCTTCCTCTAGAAATATCGTTATCAAGATGAGGATGCTCCACATGACCATACTTTGCCTCGTTTAACCCACGAAGTGAGAGGCCCAGAGCTTGTTCATGTGTCAGAGAAGAACTTGTCTCAAATAGAGAATGTCCATGGATACGTCTTACAGTCGCACATTTCTCCTTTGAAGGTAGGATCCATGCAGCTCATGGCTTTAGTCCTCAAATACAAGAAAACACGTGGCATGAAATGCCTGGGGAACTTATTTTGTTGTATAAACAGACAAGCTTCTTTCTGAAATCTATCACTGCAGATTGATTGTCCTTTGATGGACAATTTTAAGGCTCACTGTAGTGGAACAGGTGATAGTTTAGTTAGAGATGTGAGCTTCTGCTTTGAGTGAGGCTTTTGTTCAAATAAAAATAATTCCTGGCAAATGAGCCTGGTTTTCTGTGAAAGGAATGATGCAGGTTCTCAGCCTCAATATCACAGTGATTTTCAAATGGCAGACTTCCCTTCCTGATTATCCTTGTTCAGAAATCGAAAAAGAAAATACTGTAAATGCAACCGTCTGATGGGATCCTAGTTTTTTCATCTCTCAGAAAGCTATATTAAAGTCACAAGTTATGTCTGAAAAGGGAGCTCATTTGCCTCTATTCATATCCTTGCTGCTCAAGCACTTGCAGTTTTCTGTAGATTTTGATGCAATTCAGAGTGCTGTAGAGAAATCTTTCTGTTAACTAAGGCAAGAATTTATAAAATACAGAAGCTTTAGCTGTATGCGGGTCTGGTGTCCTCTGATATATCCTGTTGGGCAAAAATGTTTCTCTTCCTGTTGAACCTCTATAACCAAAAAGGAATCCGTTCCCGAAAATTTACATTTTTCCTTTAATAAGAATGCAGTGGTTTGAAAGTATTCCTAGAGCTTCTCTTGTGGAAGGAGCATAGATGCAGTGATTAGCATGATGGGTTTTCTATTCTGGTTTCTACTAGGCCTGGGAAGGGAGGGAAAAAAGAATAATACTCTTTACTAGAGGCGGTGATGTTCTGGGTGATAGTTTTATTCCAGCAATTATCTAAGCAGCAAACAAGGCAGATGGACTTTGCTCCCTCTGGTGCTCAAAACCTGTGAAATGGGCACTGCTTGCCTAGCACAGTGCTTACAGTGTGGTTACAAGTGAAAAGAAGTGTTTATTATTAAAGATTGATGTGAATACAGCTGGTGTTCATTGAGCCTTCATGGAATAGCCATGCGAATGAATCTTCTTCCTCTGCCCTTGTTGGTCCTGTGTTTAGTTTGTATGATGTTTGTCTCTTCAGGTTTTAGCAGTTTTCTGGGTTACTTACCTAATTTTTACTGCAGAAGCCATCAGTACCAAGCAGTGATAGATCACCTTGTGCTGAGGTTATCACTTTTGTTTTTTGGAAAGGATTATCTCCATAAGGCCTCTGTGTAGCATCAGGGGACAATCACAAACAAGCAATTTCTGTCCTGGAAAAGAAACATCCCTGTTCCTCTAGGACTCCTTGAGTATTGTGATTACAGTGGTGTTACTTGTTCATGAAGGTCAAAACCAGAGATCATTCTTTACATCTGGAGACTTTCAAGTAAGGCTACATAATCCAAGCTGAGGATGTAGCAATGATGTCAAAAAGCATGAAGTGATCTTCAGACATGCACAGTTGTCTTGAAACAGCTCCCAGTTTTATTTGCTCTTGCAACAGGACAAAGTTGTTTGCTCCTATTTTCTGAAGTGATCGTAGGACAGGAGCTGTATAGTGTTTCCTCTTGGAAATCAGTGTTTCCTGCAAGTTCTTCCTTCAGCATGAGGATTTCTGGTTTTGACTCTGTCCCTTTCCCTTCTTTCCTTCAGATTCAGAGTGTCTAATATCTGCTACTTAATAGTCTCATGCCTGCTATTTAACCTAAATTTAGCTGTTTGTCTCTTCAAATGGCTTTGAAGTTCCTGTTTCCTTTCCCCTGCTGTCTATGTCCCATCTTTTAACCTTCAGCAGAGAATTAGCTCAGGAGGCTGAAGGAATTCTTCTGCTAGAGCTCATGGCATTGTGTTGCCCTTCCTATCCAAAACACCTGGTTTAGATTCACTTTCATTGTTGACATTTGACTGAAATCCCTGTTCAGAAGCTTTTGGTCACAGTAATTTCCACATAGTTGAGAAACAGCATTCTGAATACTCCAAAATCAAATCCAAATGGATTATTGTCTTGAATTGCAGACTTTCCAATCTATATCTCAATATTATTAAGTAATAATTCTACCATCTTCTCAGCACTATTGTGTGAACATGGTTGCACTGAATAATGGCAAAAACTGCCTCTCAACCCATAGCATGCCTTCCTAGGGAAATGTAAAATACTGGATTCTTAAAGATTAAGAAAATATTAAAAAATAAAAATAAAAAATTGGAAAATAATTTGAAAATAATGCCTGCAATTTAAATATTTAATTGACTCCCATGAAAAGTGGAACTGCTGCAGTCCTGCTCTGAGGAGAAATAACAGGTGCTATGGTCCAAATGTTGTCAGGTAATTTCTTAGGAGTGAGAAGGCACTGGCAGTTGCAGCAGTGTAACACTGTCAGGAAACTCTACCAAGAGCTGTTCTGCTTCACTTTCCTGGTTACAGGTCAGAGCATTTGGTGCAAAGGGAAAATGTGCGTACATGAAGGTCATGAGTCTGCTTGTACCAAGTGCTGAGGGATGCATTTGGGGCAGTTTCTGGTGCTGGGAGAGTGATTGTTAGTCTGTGAATGGTCAGACTGGGAAGTTTCCTTACCCCCAAGCCTGGGATCACGTCACATCCTGTGTGCCAGTAGGACTGTGCACCTGACCACTCACCCAGGCCAGCAGGCACACTGGCTGTCTGGCTGCGTGGGGTTAAGTCACTGCCTGGCTGCATTTCACTGTTTCACTGCCTGAATTTCTCTGTAGGGACTGTAGCACCAGGTTGCACCTGCAGCAAGTCTTGAAGCAGTCTTTTGTGTTTAGTGGCTGCACAGTGTCCTGATGACAGGCTGATTACCCAATATTTGTTTTGAAATAATATCATAAAAGGAAAATGTTTGAGCATAAAAAATAATCTAGTTAATATGCTTTGGAACCAAAATGCTGTCCCATGACCAAGACACATGTCCATCCTAATCACATCATTTTTCCTAAGTGACTTGACCTTGGCAGAGTAAAAGAGTTGCTTGTTTCCATATATATTTGTTCATTTGAAAAGAGATCTGTGAAGATCGTACAGTTATAAAACTTCTCTTTGGGCTGGCAGATTCCAGCCCTCATAACTGACCAGTGCTCACAGCCATCTGTGGAAACCATAGGTGTTACACCTTGTCTGTGCATGTAGACTGCTTGCTACCATCACCAGTTTATTACGCTCCCCAGTTCTCAGGGAACATCTCAGTTTGCATCCATAATCCAGCTTGTCAGCTTGAGGACAGGCTTACTTCATTACAGGGGAAAGTGGATGGTGGAAGTTCAGGCAGAGAAACTGTGGGCCTGTCTATTCCCCTGTGTAAATCTCCAGCTAAAACATTCCAGGGATTCTTGAAACATTTTCCGACACTCAAGAATGGAAACATTCAGACCATCTTTTTATTAACACCCATGATTCAAAATGCCTGATATGGCCCATGTTTGCACAAAACACATGCATCTTAAATTTTGAAGTATAAAAATTCCTAAAGAATTGGGGTGTAATTTCATATTTTAGATTGTGTGGTTTGACATAGTCCAGAAACACCCTAGTGGATCTCATTGTTATTAGATTATTAGATAGGATATAAGGAAGAAATTTTTTACTGTGAGGTTGGTGAAGCACTGGCACAGGTTTCCCAGAGAAGCTGTGGATTCCCCATCCCTGGAAGGGTTCAAGGCCAGGCTGGAAGGGGCTCTGAGCAACCTGGTCTGGTGGAAGGTGTCTCTGCCTATGGCAGGGTGTTGGAACTAGATGATCCCTTCCAATCCAACCATTCTGTGATTCTGTGATTCCATGTTTCTATGATTATTGATTACCTCAGGAGGTTGTTTTGGAAACCAAAACATGAAACTAATTTTCTTCAATGCCCTTGCATTTGTTTTATGTGCTGAATAATGAGAAATGTGGTCCTCATACATTCTGAAAATCTTTTTGAGACACACAGATACTGATTATGATAAATACTGTTTAGAAATGTGAATAGATTTTCTGAAATTAAAGATAGGCATGTTTTCCTTATCTTCCAAGAACCTAAAATCTAGTATGCATTAGACAGATTACTCCCTTTGAGAAGATAATAATGAGCAAGAGCAGTTTTGCTGCAAACCAGACCTTCTTTTCTTTTCCCTGACTTTTTTAATTTCTTCACCTTGTTATATTTTGCATTAACATGGCTTTTCTACTCTCCTGTAGCATTTCATGTGCAGTCAACTTAGTTCTGGAAAATGCTTAATTTTAGAAAGCTTCAAACTCATTTTAAAGGTTGATCTGCTTATTAGTGTGCAGAAGATAAAATTTTAACAGCTTAAGCAACTTTGAATGTCAAACATTGAAGTTGTAAAGGAAGTTTTTAGTTATGTGGATGTATTAACATTTGGAAAAATACTAGCATTGGAGAAGTTTTCTTAGAGTTGCTGTGTTGAGATAATAAATGTTCTTTTCAATTTAAGGAGATGATGGAATTGTGTTCTAATAACCTCTTAAAGGAAAAATGTCTGCAGTGTAATGAAAAGGGAATTTTCTTGCACTACCCCTTCTTTGACACGAGATGGTGTAGTAAGCTCAGAATTCTTTGGTCTGCATCTGTAAATCTTCGTTATCTACTATTGAGAGTTTTCTTAGACGCCTTAGAAAGTACTAATTCAGTAAAAGGAGCCTCGTGAATCCATGGTGTTCTGGGAAATCTGAATTCAACACAACTGTACCTGAAAATCAGAGGTACAAGTTCTGTCTCTAAATTAAATACATGCCTCTTCCCCTTCCTCCCAGGAATAGAGCTAATCAGTGTTCTTAAATGAATGATAACTCCTAAATGAACCTTGCTAGTCTTATTGTGATGTTAGATTTATTTTTGTTTTTCAGTATACTCCACTTTTTTAAGATAAGCTGAAACATAAAAATCCTTGTAAGGATCTTGAATTTCCTTGGTTGCCTGAACATTTTAAATGTCAGGCTATTCCAGCCATCTCC